TAGAAACGATGGCCCCTGCATGACCCATTCTTTTACCTTCAGGCGCTGTTATACCCGCAATAAAACTCACTACTGGTTTTTTGATCTTTGAAGATTTTATCAATTCGGCGGCTTTTTCTTCTGCATCTCCTCCTATTTCACCAATCATAATAATAGCTTTAGTCTCATTATCTCGCAAAAACAATTCTATAATATCACAAAAATCTGTGCCGTTGACTGGATCTCCTCCAATACCAATACAGGTAGATTGGCCCAGCCCTACTGCAGTAGTTTGCGCTACTGCTTCATAAGTTAAAGTGCCAGATCTCGATACAATGCCTATAGTACCTCTTTTATGAATATAACCAGGCATTATTCCTATCTTGCATTCACCCGGAGTAATAATGCCTGGACAATTTGGGCCAATTAATCTAGTTTTTGCTCCCACGAGAGCCCTTTTAACTTTTACCATGTCAAGCACCGGTATTCCTTCAGTAAGGCATACTACTAAATCAATCTCTGCGTCTATCGCTTCTAGAATTGAGTCAGCAGCATAGGGAGGAGGAACGTAAATAACACTAGCATTTGCTTGAGTTTTTGCCACTGCTTCACGTACACTATTATATATCGGGAGATCCAAATGAGTTTGACCTCCTTTTCCTGGAGTAACTCCTCCTACCATTTTAGTTCCATAGCTGATAGCCTGTTCTGAGTGAAAGGTACCTTGTGAACCAGTAAACCCCTGACAAATTACTCTAGTATTTTTATCAACTAATATAGCCATATATTTATTTCCTGTATTTTAAGTAAGTAATGATGCCTTTAATCTGATTCTATATAGAATTGGCTCTATTTCCGTAAGTTAAGAGCTAAGGTTGAAATAGTTATGCGATTTTTATAAATAACCTAGATATTATTTTACTGCCGCAACAATTTGTTCGGCTGCATCATTTAAATCATTTGCCGCGATTATTTTTAACCCTGAATTACCTAAAATATTTCGCCCTAATTCAAAATTAGTGCCAGATAAACGTACAACTAGCGGGACTGTAATATCGATTTCTTTTACCGCAGCAATGATACCTTCAGCAATGATATCGCAGCGCATTATACCACCAAAAATATTAACTAAAACCCCATGTACTCCCTGATCGGATAAAATTATTTTAAATGCTTCAGTTACTCTTTCGCGGTCAGCCCCCCCACCAACATCTAAGAAATTCGCCGGTTCTGCGCCATATAGTTTAATAATATCCATAGTGGCCATAGCAAGACCGGCCCCATTAACCATACAGCCAATAGTACCTTTCATTTTAACATAACTAATTCCCGCGTTAGCCGCTCTAGTCTCCAGCGCATTTTCTTCATCTTCGTCCCTTAAGGAGGCAATATCTGGGTGTTTAAATAAAGCATTATCATCAAAATTAATTTTTGCATCTAAGGCAAGTAGAGTACCATTAGGTTTAGTAATTAAGGGATTTATTTCAATCTGGCTAGCATCAGTTTCAATGAAAGCTTTGTAAGTTGACTCAACAATCTGTATCATCTGTTTAATTTGTTCGCCTTTAAACCCAAGTTTGTAAGCTATCTCGCGACAATGAAATGATTGTATTCCTGTTGCTGGGTCAACGGACACGGTAATAATTTTTTCTGGACTTGCCTGAGCTACTTCTTCAATATCAACTCCCCCTTCGGTAGACGCTATAAAAGTTATCCTACTACTACTACGATTAAAAACTGCGCTAAAATAATATTCCTTTAAAATGTCATTACCAATCTCTACATAAATACGCCGGACTTTTTGTCCTTCTTGAGCAGTCTGGTGCGTTACTAAATTAATTCCAAACATCGCATGAGCAGCCTTTTTTGCCTCCTCCTTATCCTTAACAACCTTTACTCCCCCTGCCTTACCTCTACCCCCAGCATGAATCTGAGCTTTTACTACATATAGCTCTGCATTTAATCCATCAATTAATCGATCAATATCTTCTTTACGCAATATTACCACTCCTGTCGAAGTTGGTATATTGTATTGTTTTAATATCATCTTCGCTTGATATTCGTGAATATTCATTGTTTATAATTATTTTTTTAAATATTTAAGATACCATATAATACTATAAATATCATCACTGTAAAGCTTCATTTAAAGGTTAATTAACTATAGAGATAACTGTTACTTTAATAATGAAAAGTTTCAGCGCAGAAATTTACTTAATCAGATACTAGGGTGGAGGGTGCGATCTTTTAAAGGGGAGGTGGGCATAGCAGGTTTGAGTAGATTAGGGGTTAAAATAAACTTAGTTTTTTTCTCAATTCCGGAAAGGCGGTAATGATAATTGTGCGGTTGCTGAATTATAGCGTATTTATCCCACTCAGGATACTGCCTATCGAGAGATGGTTTATATTCATTAGGGCCGTATACTTCAAGTTCCCCAAATTGGTATTTTTTTGAGAGGTAATACTTCATCAACCTGGAAATAATCATTAGGAAACATATCACTTGCTTCTAAATTGGTGTATCTCAATCTATCACCTACTTGATGATAGATAAAAATATCCAGACACCCTATATTATTGCATATGACGTAGAACCTCTTATGCCGTACTTGGTAACGTAATTTTCTAAAGACACTGAAAGTTGCTTGTAATCTAATTTCATCTTTATGGTCTATGCCAATATCGAGATCGTCGTCAAAGGGTATGATACCTTTATGCCTGACTGCTCCTAAAAGTGTACCGGATATAATCCAGTAATCTATGTTGTGTTGGGTTAATATCTCATGAGTATCTTTCATTAATTGGTATAAGCCTAAAGCGCTGGTTGGTTTAATCGAATATTTTTGTACTTGTGTATCTGTAGGCGTAACAATTTGCCATTTATGAGGATAAAATTCCAAATACCCTTGATATAAACCCCAACTTATTAGGAGAATGCCTGTAATTCTATGTAATAATTTATTAAGGAGCTTGTACTTGAGATACATAGGAGTAGCTGCTGTTTATTAAAGTGAGCACTAATTATATGATATATCTTTTGCATGTCAAGAATTGTTTTTCGCCGAACAGCAACTTACGTATTTAACACTTATATTTTGTTGTATTATCAAAAATATTAGCAATAAATTTACTAATACTTTATTTTATTTATCAACTATAAGTTACTTCATAGGTATAATAAATAAACCAATAATCAATGAAAATAAAACTAGTAATTATGGCAGGAGGGTTGGGTACAAGGTTATGGCCATTGTCCACACAAAACTATCCTAAACAGTTTGTTAAATTGTTGAATAATTTAAGCCTGATGCAAAGCACTATTATTAATAATAGTGCTTTGGGAAAGCCCACTTTGATAATTAGCCAAAAAGATGAAGTAATAGTAAAGGAGCAACTTAAAGAGTTGTGCCAGGAAGCAGATTTAATTATAGAACCTCTAGGCAAAAACACTGCTCCTTGTGCAATTGTATCCGCTATTGCTGCAAAACGAGCTGGTTATGAAGTCGTTATGTTACTACCGTGCGACCATTACATAGATCAGATAGATAAATATTTCAATACTGTTAAAAAATGCCTAAAATATGTAGAAAAATTTGGTATTTGTACCATTGGCTTTAAACCTGATCGTCCAGATACTGAATATGGGTATATAGAAGTTAATGAGGCGTTAGAGGAGGGAATCTATCAAGCTAATAATTTTATAGAAAAACCTAACTTACTACAAGCTCAGATTTATCTACAGAATGATCAATATTTTTGGAATACAGGCATTTTTATTTTTAAGGTAGATTTTATGCTAGAGCAAGCAAAGTTATGGCAAAGAAAGCTTCTTACGTACTGTTATAACGCTCTATATAGAGCTAAAATAGAAAATAGTAATATAAGGCTTGCCTTAAAACCTTATTTACGGATTAAACCGATTTCTCTAGATTACGCTATAATGACACATATTAAACAAATGGTCATGGTAAGGGGTGATTTTAGTTGGTATGATTTAGGAAATTGGTACAGATTATGGCAAATACAGCAAAAAGATATATTAAATAATTATTGTGAAGGGGAAATAATACAGCGGGATACTACTAAT